AGGAGGGTCCCAGAGCAGGAGGAGCACAGCAGGACCCAGGCCACAGCCATGACGATGGCTGAAACTTCGATTCTGGTGAAAGTGGACACTTCAGAGAAGGGAATTGGAGCGGTACTAGCCCATGGAAACTGCGGGAGAGGAGAAGCCAGTCGTGTTCCTGAGTAGGAAGCTGTTGCCCAGAGAAACCAGGTATTCCACAATCGAGAAGGATTGTCTCGCAATCAAGTGGTCCCTGGAATCCCTCCGATACTACCTCTTGGGGAGAGAGTTCGACCTGGAGACGGACCATCGGGCATTGACGTGGATTCACATGATGAAAGATCATAACGCCCGCATCACGAGATGGTACCTAGCTCTCCAGCCCTACAGTTTCAAGGTACGACATCGGCCTGGGAGGCTTAACCTCGTTGCAGACTACCTGTCCTGGTACCCGGAAAGTACGCGGCTTGGAGAGGGGGGAGGTGATGTGAAGAGTTGATCTTCACCGCTGGAAACGGCAGTACTGGCACACACATTTAAATACATATATATACACACTTACCTCATTCCTACCCCTGCTGTTTAGACATCAGAGAGCGGGTGCACATGTAATCTGGATGGCACACGGACATTTCACACATTCTTCACCCCGTTTACAGTATACATACTCCGGATCAACCACACAGACACCCTGTTGTTAGTTTGAAGTTTTATTTTTAGTTCGTTTTGTCTTGTGTGTTTGGGTAGTAGTCGGACTTCCACGTTGCGCCAGCCAAACCAAATGATCGAGCAGCGCCCGCTTATGACGTCACTGGCCGCGCCGGCGCAACGCGATTGTAGTCCGACGAAACCATTATTGTTTTTGTGTGGGGAACTGTGTCGTCTTTTCTGTGGAGAGAAAAGATATTAAATGTTAACGATTTGTGTTATTAATATATGTTTTAATAATGGTTTATTGGTTTGTGTGTTTTATAATGTGGTTGATGTGTTATGTGAAGTTTATAAGTTAAAATGAGATTATAAGATTAAATGCTTACCTGCTAATGGTACCCTCCAGGTAGGGGGTGGAGCCTGGCCTATAAGAAGGGAGGCCAGGCTCACATCAAGTTGCTTGTTTACCAAGTCAGCGAGCGTGCTACTGCGGTGCCGTGAGCAAAACCAGGCATATTGTATATTGTGGATACTCGTTTGTACATATTATTTGTTGTTTATTTTGCTATTTTATTTTTGTTCTTTTTTTTTTTTGGTAATTTGCTGTTTTTTTTTTTTTGGACTGAGCACTTGTGTAAATACTATATACTCTCACCACTGGAAATTTTTACGACGCACTGTAAATAAAAGTCACCTTTCATTTACTTCTACAGGTCAAGTCATCATTTATCTTTTTTTTCCCGGACCTAAAACGTCCCGCAGTAGATCTGCAAGGGTCTACTGCACCAGAACTTGGGAGGAGGATCCGGAGGAGGACGGACACCCTGGAGGGGGCCGGCAGACAGAGACCAGGGAGGTGACGAAGGAGGGAGGAGCCAGGGAGGAGACATGAGGGTCCCGGAGCAGGAGGAGCACAGCAGGAGCCAGGCCACAGACATGAAGGGGGCCGAACAATGGCGGCGGAGCACGTGGAGGAGGAGCCCGAGGCGGAGACAGAGAGACAACGAACCAGGGGGATGCCGAGGATCCGGGGGGCCAGGGTGGAGCCGAAGGCTCTGGCAACCGAGGCGGAGATCCGGAGATCCGCGGCAGAGCCGGAGCGAATGAGGACCAAGATGGAGCTGGCGGGAGGAAGGTGCCCAATGGAGCCGGTGGGACGGAGCGACGAGGTGCAGCCGGAGGAGCGGAGTCCTGAGGCGATGGCGGGTCGACGCCCGACCAAGGCGGAGCCGGAGGGTCATCCGGGTAGCTGGTGGTGCTTGCTAGCAGCTGGAACAGTCTCGTATGGTCCTCGAGCGATCTCTCCCCCTGCTCCAGCAGGAGGAGGAGAAATTCCAGGCGAAGGAGGGCATCCATGAGGGAACAACGGGAAACAAAAAAAGGGGAAAACAAACGGAGGGGAAAACACGGAGGTAACTGTTTTAGGTCAGGTCTTCTGTCACGTTACGCTGCTGCGGAGACATAGGAGACACGGAGTAGCACTCACAGTCTTTAATGACGTAAACACGGGATAATCCACAATAGGAGCTGGGCAAACACACGTAGAAACAAGTAGACCTGACAGAGACAGACTGGGTCCGGGCCTCGGAGGCTGGAGGCGGAGGTGAGGGATTCTCCTGCCATGGCAACACTGGAGGATGGCAGACCTGCGGAGCTCGCACTGTATTGATGGTGGGCTGAGGGCGAGCAGAGGGGCTTCCAGATGACAGCGGTGGAGGAGGCTGGAGCGGGTGGGAGGGCGCAGGGGGTGGGTGCTTCTCTCTGCGCTCACACCGTCCACGGCTTTCTCCCTCGTGGCGGGCATTGTCAAACAGGGGCAAAACACGACACAGAACAGTCCAGAATCCTGACAATATATATATACATATCCAGGAACACTGACTAATGTGATTATTTACATAATATAATAGCAATTAACACCTACTGAAATACATAGACAGAAAATAATACTCGCAGAGCACAAGAGGAAGTTGACTGAGCTCCATACTGACTGAATTATGACAGAAGGTTAAAGAAACAGACTGTGTTAAAGCCTCAAGACTTCCTGAAAACTGCAGTCAGATCTTTAAAAACATCATGACAGATTCAAGACATACAAATGTACCTCATGTCTTAAAAATAATCAGTTGATAATGTTGTTATCTTATAACATGTTTTCAGAAAATGTCAGACTAACAAGGAAGTTTTCTATAGGAACGCACGCTGTCATGAGTCATTCAGTATTAAACTGAAAATGTATTTACCGTTATAAAAAGTTCTGTTTAAGTGATTTGTTTCATTTCCCTTGTTTAATGAACAAGGGAAATTAAACAATATTTTGATGGCTTTTATTGCAATGGCAGTATTGTATTGTATTTATACATTTATTGAGATAAAGTGAACAACTGCTGCTCCTCCCTCATTGGTTAGTGCGGTGGAGCTGAAACAGAACAAACCAAACCAAACCAAACCACAACTATGAACTCACTTCTGTCTATATCTATCACACTCTGACACTGATGGTGTTTAGTTTGACTGACATATTTGTACCTGTGAACACAGTTTAATATTCATACACAAAGACAAGGGATGGACATTAAAACAAATTTAATGATTATGATTTCAGTTAATGAATCCATGTGCCTTTCTTTGTTGAGTATTTGATGCCTGTTGAAGACAATATTCCATTTATCATGTATTTACAAAATGTATTTACCTTAAATACAAGATAACAGTAACATCAGAACAACAGAAAGTAAAAATTGATTGCTTAACTAAGACATATTACTAAGAAGTTGATCATGCCATGATGCAATATAAACCACATGCAGTGTGAAGAGAAGCTCATACCAGTGGATTTCAGATCTTGTTTTA